AGGTAATACCACACTACTGCTACAGCAACTGATACCGTCAGGCCATCGAAGGGCTCTTATATCTCGAGAGTGCTGGGCTGTGTCACACTAGCTTCACAGAGTCGCAAGTCCTGGCTGATTTCGCGGGGAATGTCAAAATAAGTGAGTTGGACTGCCTATGCTACCAAATCCAACACAGCATATACTGACGCACATAAGGCGGCCCAGACTGGTGCGAGAAAGGGAAAACGCCACCTCTACAGCTGTTGCCGCTCACACAGCATCTAATGTACCCTTGGCTTTACTCGGAACGTGTGCGCAGTGATGCGACAAAGTGGGCAAGAGGCACTCATGCTGTTGAGTTCTGGCAGAACGTGTCACGGCCGACTACAAGCTTGAACGCCCTCAAAAAGGTAGCATTAACCCCACCTTGCGAGTGAGTATGTACTGACAGCAAACTAGAGCGCGTTACTTCAACTTTCATGGAAAAAATTGGATGTACGGGAGCTAATGCTGCTCGCCGTCGACCACGTTCGCACAGAGAAGAAGATGAGGCGGGCTATTGGGGTGGATCGTCTCAGCAGTGACGCACGCGCCTCAATGTAGCGCCCCATCATCGGTGAGTGAACCTGACGGTTTAGATTGGCAGCCCTTAACAGTGAATTAGCCATGCCCACTCAGTGTTGTCCAGGTTGTGGGGAGGAGCACCCCATGAATCGTGCGCCCTACGTGGCGGGGTCTGCCCCCACTGCACACGCTGGTTTGAACGAGCGAGCGAGCTACTGTCAGGAACGGGGGAGCCTCGGGTCCATGCGCTCCATCGAAATGACTTTGGGACTTTTTTTTGGTTGATTCCTTTGGATGGTCTGTTTTTGGTATCATTTTGTATCATTCTTTTGCTAGGTTTCACAATCATTGCACTACATTCCACAGAAGCCCGATCCTAGTGGTCTAAAACCCGAAGAGCACAATACAAAGGTTCAAGGGTTTACAAGTAGAAACAAGCCACCAGTACAGTACCCTTGGGGGCTTACATAGATAGGATGGTATCGAGTCCTCAAGCCCTGGTGAGACAGCCATGATACTGCACTTTCAAACAGACTAGAAAACAATAAATACAATGAGATTCTGAATTCCTCGAACGATGCTGGCCCCTGGGAGCGTCGTCAGTACGTAGTGAGGCGCTTGCTGGACCAAGGTAATCAATCTTACCCACAGGCCATTTCCCGCCTTGTTGAGCCGTTCATGGAGCTGATCATGACGGGACCCAGCTTCGCCACTATTTACTCTGGGATTCGGGATTTTCCGTGGTGTGAGTGGGGTTAGTGGAGTCAAGTAGTCCACTGAGCTCTGCAGTCTGATATGGATGACTACTACCTGGCGAGTGACGGGGGCCAGGGTGCTCCGATAAAAATGTGCAGACGGTGGCAGCTAGAAATGGCTCGTCATTTTATAACAAATAGAGAAAAAAAGAAGAATAGGAGAAAAAAAGGGCTGAGGGGGAGCTTCATCGGTGCAGTGCTGAAACCCTTACATGTACGTACCTGAAATGTTAGTGGGACTACGATCTAGCGGAGGAGAGAGCTCCCACTAGCATCGCCGTCGCCTGTTAAACGCAGCTGGCTCATTCTCACTGGTTAAACCATGGAGCCTAAATCTTCCCAACGCTGAGTGAGCGCTTCTGGAAGAACCAAACATGGCTAATGAGTACAGAATCAATTTTCTGCTCTGTACGTTGCCAGATTGGGGAATATGGAAGCTGCTTTTGAAGGACAAGTTAGAGAGTTGACCTTGATGGCCTCGAAGTTGAGCTACCCGGTATCTCATCACTCCCAACATCGGGCACTTCAGCATCA